TTTAATCCAGTTTATGTCTTCTCAAACTTCATGCTTTCTAACCTCATGAATTATTTATGTTAATACATGTTTTCAACACTAAATAATAATACTGGTAGGTAATCATATAATTCACACATTTTTATTTTCACTTAAAAGACCAGCTCTCTTTTTGTAAAGAGCAACGTGCTCTTTCTCTGACATATATTCTTCTTTGATTTGTTTTTGTTTTTTGTTTTACAACACTGTAAATGTAAAAATCATTTTCAGGTGAAGGCTATACAAAATTAAGTTAGGAATTTGCTTCATAGAACATGGTTAGAGAACATGATTAATGGTCATGTCATCAACATTAATCTTTATAAAATTATGTTATTGTTGTTTTGAGGGCTTTGTAATATATAAATGTATATTAAGCAATGTGTTATAAAAGTATCCTAGTTACTCTTTCTTCTTTGTTTACAAGAGTTATTTTTGTTGATATGTTTACTGGATTCTTTGGAACAAGTGGAAAGTTAAACTGATATTGATAATTAAAATATATTTAAATAGTATCTTTTATTGTATAATATACATTTCTTGCTTCAAGAAAAGCTCCATTATTTCGGTTATTCTATGAGTAATTAATTACTCATGGGCTGATAGTTGAAGCACACACAGAACTATTTAGTTATCTTTCTGGCTGTTGTTAATTTTACTTCTACAATGAAAACAAGAAACTCTGAGCATTCGATAACAGGGCATAAATGATAACCGTACTAGACATTTATTTCAGATGTTTTCCATCTAAATTTAAAAACTGGTAACAGCAGGTTCTGCCTTTGATGGAAACTTTTGTCACACCTTGGCCAAACACAGAAGGAAGACATCCCCATCACACGGGCAGGGGAATGGTCATCTGTTTACATTTTAGCAGCCTGGTGCAAGCAGGGTGTGGACTGCTATGAAAGCTCTTCAAGGAGTGTGGGAGAAGACACCATGCTGTTTCCATCCCCTCCCTAGCACACTGAGACACCTCAGAAAGGTGCTCCTGCGGTACTGAGACACAGAGAAACCAATGGCACAGAAAGTCTTGCCTCAAGAAGAGCTTCATTCTTACTCCACTAGGCAAAGAACAGTGAAACTTGTCACATGTTGTACTAGAGCTCGGTAAGTGTGAAGTATGGGAAATAACAGCTCTTTAAACATGGCGTGCGAGGAGGTGCAGAGCACGCAGCACTCTATTCTAATGCCATTGGTGACCCTGCCCTCAGGAGAAGGAAGCTCTCCTGATCAAGACCTCTTACACTTAGGGGCAGGACCTGTTCTCTTTATGAAGATGGAGAGTGAAGCTGGGAAATTTGCACCTGAAGTTAAGGAATAACATTAGGCAGACAGGACAAGGAAAGGAGAGAACATGCTATGGTTCCTAAGAGAAGTCAATGTGACAGTCCTGGTGGAAATTAAAGAATTCTTAGAAATTCATCTGACCTTGAAATACATCTGACCTTGGGAACCACATTTACTGCAGCAGTTACGTGACATTTATGACATCAAGAGCTTATTTTAGAATATGAGAGTACGGCCTCTCAGTGACACGTCATCAAGAAAGTGCAGAGCAAACTGTGTCATCTCATACCAGTAGGAATGGTCAAACAAAACAAAACAAAAACAATAAATTCTGCTGCCAATGTGGGGAACAGAGAACACTTATCCACTGCAGGAGTGAATTTAAATCAGAAATTAGAAAAGTGATTAACAAGAAAAATATGGATGTTCCTCACACAACTCAAAGTAGATCGAACATCACCAGCAGCTTACCACTCCTGGATATGCATCTAAATAAAATTAAATCGGCACATCAAACTGATACCTGCACACTCGCGAGTACTGTAGCACTCTTAAAAATGGCAAGATAGGGAGATGACTTAGGTGTGAATCAACAGAGGACTGCATAATAAATGCAGTGCACGTACACAGTGGAGTACCGCTGGGACAGAAAGATGAATCTCGTTATCTGTGGCAACGTGAGGTTACCTGAAGGAGCCCGACAATGGAAGGCAAAAACGACCTGTTCTCTCTTGTATGTGGGAGTTCCAAACTTTGATCTAACATGTAGAGGCGGATGATGCAAATTAGTAATTACTAAAGTCCACAAAAGATGAGGTGAAGAAGGGTATTGGAGGTTGGCGACAGACACCAGGACGCAGGGAGGAGGAACACACTGCATCGCTCTACAGCTCTCTAGGCTGAGGGTACTTGTTTTGCATCTGAGACAGTTTTAGGATTCCTCCTCTGCTGACCATTTATGACAATCATATGCGTGTCTAAGACTTACACATAATTAATGCAAGCTATTTATAAGATGTGTATGCTTACAATTTCAATACATGGATGTAAAAAGTTCAAAAATCAAAGAGGACATTTACAAATGTGGGAAATACAGAGAAAGTTCGGAAACAGACCTAGCTGTATATAAGGTCAGCTAATTGTGAGCTGAGCGGCTAAGACAGCTACAAGGAGAAAAGCTAGCAATTAATCAATGGTGAAAGCGCTTCTTCATATATATGCGTGGCCCTACTTGAAACAGTAGGCTTAACAAAAAGAATAAATCCGTAGCATCTATCTATTAATATCAGTCCCCAAAAGATACTATGAACCCAAGTGTAAAAGTTAAATCTGTATTTCTCAGAGAAATATAGAGAAACTACTTATGATTTTCAAATGGATAATTATTTCTTAGATGAAGACAGAAAACCATAAAAACAAGGGAAAATATGATAAATTTCAAATTGCATTAGTGTTTCTCTTCAAAAGATATAGACAAGCATATGAAAAAGGATCCAGAGATGATGAGGAGAGAATGCTTACAAAATATATCTGCGTACTATAATTTGAGTACATTAAAATTAGAAACACAGGCATCTGCACAACCCAGTAATACAAATTAAGAAATGATCTAATTTAAAAGGTGAGTGAAATTTTGAGTAAACCGTTCTCCAAAGACAACAGATGACTGGCATAGAATTACATGTTCAGCATTATTCTTCGTTATAAAATATACTGACATGCTTTTGCAATCATCAAATTTTCAAAAAAGCAATAACCACAAAACTTTAAAACATCAACACCAGAAATAGTAACTGCTATTGGTAATACATGTATAGATAGATAGATAGATAGATAGATAGAGATATTATTTATATACATGTATTAATATATGTGGATAATAAACTTATCTTCAACATAGTGAATATAACACTGTCAAATCAAATTAAAGCTACTAACATCTTAATTGTTATATTAAGCAATTAGCACAGAAGTACTAACCTCTGATCTAGCAAGATTTATGGTATCATTTTCTGACAACCAGAGTTTTAAACTATAGTGAGACAGTTCCAGGTTTTCTATGGAGGAGGGGAATTATTTGGATATACTTCGTTGCTAGAAATCAATTCCACAAAATGACTATGATAATTATGTTATTTGGGTAAAATGCTCAAAAGAGTAATCAATAGAAACTAGGCGTGGTAAAGAACTCTTGCATGATATCAATTCCAATGATTTATTAACAGAGAAACACAAAAACAAACTATATTGACCCATCACTGATCCCTCCTAAACTTGTTCCAATCCAGAGTTTTGATATGCTCATGTTTCTACCGTTTAAATCACACATTTTCAAATTTAAAATGTGTCAGCTAACAGGAATGGCATCTCTATGAGCCTGGGTCAAAGATATTTTGGACATGTCAAATTCTTGAAATTTAGCAGATATGAGTCATGACAGCCGTCAGGACCCTGAATTGCCTTATTAACATTTAAACGATGGTGAATGCTAAGTACAATTTAAAGGATGCATTCTGCATAAAGAATAAATATTTAACTAAAATGTTTATTTAAAACATGCATGGATGTGTTCCTGTGAAATGTCTAGTCCATAAATATTAGTGTAGCATTTTAGAAGTTAAACAATTATGTCTAACAGCTTCTGAACATGAAGTTGGGTGCTGGGGTATAGAACACAGGCAGGAAGCTTATTAGTTTACGTGGAGAGGTTAGGACCACTTTCTCTGCTCAGATTCATAAAGGGGCAAATCAGGACAAGCAGCTACCAGGGTTGCTTTCCTTATGGAAGTGCGGAAAGGAACCTGTAGCCTAAGTACACTCAAAAATCACAGAGCTTCTAAACACAAAATCTGCTCTCTACTAGGGAAAGGAGATCGACTCCCTCTTCCTTGTGTGAAACAAAAGTCTGTGTTCATATAGCTATATTTCTACCAAGCTAGGAGTTCTACAGCCCAAGGGAGGAAAAAGGCTAGCCTTTGGGAGTACCTCTTCAGAAAAGACGACATGCCACATACCTCTCTATTCCCACTTTAAGGATGTCACAGTAATGATCTCGTAGTATAAATTCTGATAAATCTGTTTCCTAATATTTATTAATACAAGCATATGGAAATAGCACAGAAGAGAAGCCCATGTCATTTCTCGTGTGTGTGTGTGTGTGTGTGTGTGTGTGTGTGTGCGCACACGCGCTACTGGGTTTGAGTGCAGGGCACTTCAATGAAATTGTATCCAGCTCTCCTCCTTTATTTTTAGACAGTATCATTAAGTCGCTGATTTGCCCAGGCCGTGTTCAAACTTGGGATCGTCCTGCATCAGCCTCCCAGAAATCTGAGATTACAGGCATGTGCCACAGTGGTAACTTATAGAAAATAACTCGAATCAAACTAACAGAAAGATACTTCTTATTTGCTTATTTGGCTTGGTCATTTTAAACCAAACATTCAGAAATTGTTTTTTTCTGATAAGCAAATACTTTTATTCAGTAAAAATTAAATATATTTACCACAACTCTGAAGGAGTTTCAGAAATGTTTTGGAGGGACTGATTACACTTTGCAGGGAGGGAAAAGGTCTCAGACTGCTTAAAATATATTCGTCATTAAGAGAAAACCTTGTGTTAAGAGCACATGGCTGCTTTGTTCTGTTACAAATTGGCACACTCAATAAAGCGAATGAAGTGCTGCTACTTCCTACCTTGAAAGCGGCTGAGCTGTCTTCGTGCATGATGAGGATGCAGGGGAAGGGTATCTTCAGATCTCAGAGCTCACGGCTGGAGTGAAGTCAGCTGCGTCTGTCACGCGTGGCTTGTCCTGCCTGTGTCCTCTCCACCGCTACACTGGCTGAAGGGCTTCGCCACACGTACTTAAGCTGCACTTTCAAGATACAAATGGACATTGACAAATGTCCCTTGTCCACTTTTGAAGATTATTTGATGTCAATAAACTGGAAAAAGTAAAAATCTGATACCTAATGGGGCAATTTGCAAGTTCACTGAAACATTCTCTAATCTCAATAAGGCTTGTTCTACATCATATACCTCCCGTAGCTCTACTCTTCACTGATTCTTTACAACCAAATTGTTTCCTAAGAGCACTTGACATATATATTGATTCACTAATCATCATTAGCATTCTACTGATGCAAATAGAATGCATTTTTGTTCCTATTTTATAGGTGGAGAAATATAACATTTAACCACTGTGAGAGCTTACAGCCTCATACAGAGCTGGAATTAAATTCTGGGACAGTTTCTTATTCAAGCATCCTTTACCTTTCTCTACAGAGGCACTAAGGTATAAAATAGAATATTAAATCTTCCAGGGCTTATAACAAAGTTCTTTGTACTGTATTAATACCTGTATATTTTTTTAAGTCTTTCTTTTCTTTTTTTTTTTTATTTTTGAGAGATAGCCCTGCCCTGCTAGAGTCCTAGGTTGGCCTTGAACTCAAAATTGTCCTGTGTCAGCTTCCGAAATAGCTGAAATTTCAGGCATATGCTGCCACGCTTGTCAACATCATTATTCTTAGATATTTATGTCACAAATAATATTGTTAAAATGGTATCGAACATAAAAGATACAAATATGACAGAAAATTTAAACTAATCGGCTAGTCACACATACATGCACACACACGCACTGTTAGGGACCTGACGCCGCCACTATGGGCCCGTTTCCGGGTTTTTCATGCCTCCGTGCCACTACTTTAAGTTTCCTTTTCCCAAAGCCACGATAGTTTAGAAAAATAAAACAGCTTCTGCGAGGCTAAGTCCTTAAAAGGCAACATGGCCTGCGATAGGTTCAAAGTAGCCCGCCTGCTCACAGATACGCAATAGCCCAGCCCTAAACCAACGACAGGACCCTCCCTTCTTCGTCTCTGTCTGATCTGTTCTCCCGAACAAAGTCTGCTGTCCGACCTCCGGGCGTGTGGCCTTGTTGAGCTTCGCTGTTCCTCCTCAGGCACATGTTTATCCATTTGGTAAGTAGAGGGCGTGTGGCCTTGTTGAGCTTCGCTGTTCCTCCTCAGGCACATGTTTATCCATTTGGTAAGTAGGATATTTACGTAACACGCGTAGGTTTTAAGAGTAGCTTTTGAACAGACGATGGATGGATGCACAGGCGCCTTGGGCCTGCCCTCCGTGAACAGAGACCCCAGGTGCCGCTCCAGGGGCGGCGGGGGGAGCCTTGCGTCGGACTTCCTCTACTTTTCCTGCGAAGGTGCTAAGGCATGAAGTGTGCCACGCTGGGCCAGAGAGCCACAAAAGAGGTTCGAGACGCTGCCACTCACCCTCACAGATTTCCTTTCTTTGCCTCTTTTCTAGATGAAGGCAGAATTTCTGTGTTACTCAGCAGCTACAATCCAGTGGGCTCCGAGCGGAAAGCCCTCTTACCTGCTGAAACGCGCGGTTTAATTCAAGCTGCACAGAAGGCTGTGAAGTGGACTCCGCTACCCTTCTGTGGTGAACAGTTTTGGGACGGGGTCCATTCAGCGAAAGGAGGGGCAGGCCCCAATTCCGCGAGCGTGCCGGACTCGCAGTCGGCAGATGGCGGCTGTACGGTGGCTGGCAGGGCACACAAGGCAGCGCCCGAGCCTTTGCTCCCAGCATCCTCTGCTGCCAATTGGCTTCGGACTACAGAGGAGCTGCTGCTGGTGTGGGCGTGGCTTCTTCGTTTATTTCTAATATATCTCTTCTTAGGTCGGAAAAAGCAGAAACTGAAGTGGGAGTAAAGAGAAAGGGAGAAACTATAATTTAATAATGCTGTCATAATTTTTAAGGCTAAATAAATTCAGAACTAAAAGTTTTTGGTCAGAAGATTTACTGACAGGAAGAGTAGTGGTCGAGTATATAAACCTTTAGAAAAAGAATGCTTAAATAAACAGTCTTGTGAAGAGTCTTCTATAAATATAAGGCATTATAGAAAGACTTTCAAAGTTGATCCAAGGAAAGTCAATTCTGTTTCTATAGACACAATCTATCAGGTTTTGTGGGGCTATTCGGAAAAGCGGTCATGCTTACAACTACGAAATATAAAACTTAGAACAATCTGTACATATAAATACACTAAAACTGATAAATTCATTATACAGATCAATAGACCAATACTGATAGACCCACTATCTTTTTATATATAAAGGTCTATATTTGTACTTATGTAGTTGTTTATATTTACGTAGTTCTGTTTATAAGTACATATTATAGTAATATCTTTTAAGACCAGTATAGAGGTACCTGGTTAACTATAAAAATATATTTTTAGTTTATGTGACAGTCAGAAGCCAACTTTGACAACTAAGCAAGATGTGTCCAACATTTCCCTAATCATGTAGTGATTCTTTCTTCAGCAGTCTCTGAATAAGAATGACCAGGTAACTGAAATAAACTTTAACGAACTCTTAAAACCATAATTATAGCTACTTGCATATTCGATTGTAAAATACCCTTTAAATATGCATTTATATGCATGTATATTATTTCTAATATCCAGAATTTAAAACAAGTAATAACATCTAATGCTCTTTAAGCAGCTAACAGTCTTACTTTCAGCATTGTATCTTCATACTCTTAAAAGAAAAGAAAATTCACTTATTTTCTTCAAAGCTACATTTTTCAATGCAGTGATTATAGAAAATTTCAAAGTACAGATGAGTTTCAGACAAAGATATCTATTAAAGCACTAATTAGAGAGAACTATAGACACCTCATTGTTATGAGGCCTTATTTAGGCAAACAGTATATATGTTATAAAGGATTTGGTTTTCTCATATTTTTCATTTTTGTAACAATATCCCAGGAAATTATGTACAAATAAGATGATGCCATTTGATTGACTCCAATCCTTCACATTACTGTTATTTTCCAAAAGGTGTACATGGATTTTCTTTCTTTCTTTTTCTTTCTTTCTTTCTTTCTTTCTTTCTTTCTTTCTTTCTTTCTTTCTTTCTTTCTTTCT